TTTCCTATTACACATTTATTGGGAGGCGGGCATGTGCATGTGTGTGTGAAGGTCAGAGAACAATTTTCAGGAGTTGGTTCTCTACTTCAACCATATGGGTCCCAGGGATCAACCTCAGGTCATCAGGCTAGGTGGCAGGTGCTTTTAACTGCTGAGCCATCTCACCGACCTCCACTTCTTTTAATTAGAATCTTGCTTTAGTTTGAATTTGGAATGCCCCCCAAGGCCCATATGCTAAAAGGTTTGACCCAGGAGTGATGGTGCTGGGAGGTGGTAGAACTTTTAAGGAGTAGGGTCTGGTAGAAGAAAGTCTATCAGAGGTGTGCTTTTGAAGGGGAATTGGGACCTTGGCCCTTTCTTTTTCTTGTTTCCAAGCCTCCATGAGGTGAGCAGCTTTGCTCTACCATACACTCCACCCATGATGTCTGTGTTACCACAAGCCAGGTAACAGGTCCAACTAATCACAGACTGAAATCTAACAAACAGGGAGCCAAAATAAACTTTTCCTCCTTATAAGTTGATTATTTGAGGCATTTTGTCACATGACAGAAAACTAACACCAGCATTCTTTGAGGTCAAAGTAAGTATATACTCCTTTGTGAAGCTTTCTTTGGTCTTTCAAATCAGAGTTAACTGCTCCTATTTATATGTTCCCATAATTTGTGTCTGCACATCTTTCTAAGGTAGGAGAACACTGTTAGCTGAATCACTTTCCTGGAACCATGGTCCAGGAAATTAAGTTTTTCTTTCTGAATGCACAACTTCAGGAAGAAAGCACTTAAAAGACTAAAGAGGCATCAGTCCAGCTCTCCGGATTAACAAGATCAATTCAGTCGCTCACATGGTGGCTGACATCAGTATCTCCAGGGCGAGAAACATTATATCTCAGCATCTTCCTAGTGCTTTACCCATGTAGTAACCAGCAAACACTTCTGGAATTCAAAGTTTGGTGGACTACTTTCTCTGGAGTCAAAGCTTTTAATTTTTAAATGTATCTAATATTATAATATTAGATATTAACAAGGCTAGGAAATGTCACTAGTCAAAAGATGGGGGGGCTAGAGGATGGCTCAGTGGTTAAGAGCGCTGGCTGATCTTACAGAAAACCTGGGTTCTGTTCCCAGCACCCACATGATGGCTAACAACGATTCTAACTCCAGTTCCAGAGGATCCAATGCCCTCTTCTGACCTCCACAGGCATGGCATGACACAGGTGCACTTACGTATATGCAGGCAATACACTCATACATATAAAAATATGCATAGAACAAATTTTTACATAGATATGTGCATATGCGTGCACATATGTGCATGGACTTGTATGTGGCAGCCAGGGGTCAATTTGGGAGCTCAATTGGCTAAGCCAGAAAGCCCAGGGATCCCTGTCTCCACCTCCCCAGCTCCAGGATGCTGCAGTGCCTGGCTTTTTACGTGGGTTCTGGGGATCTAAGTTCTCATGCTTCCTTAGTAAACTCAGTTTACCAACTGAGCCATTTCCTCAGTCCCAAAAGATGGATCTTTAAAAATGTAAATGATTATAATCCACAGAAACTTAAAGCTTCATTATTTAGGATAACGGTTCATAATTCATTCATTCTGAATACACACGTCTTCCAACACGTAGCAAAACAATGCCTGGTTATAGCTCCCTCTTTTACACCTGAGCCCATCTTCTGGAGGTGGTGCCATCAAACAAATTAGATCTCCTCTCATCATACTCTACTACATCCAGCCTCACTATATCACCCAGGACATACCATGAAAACAGAAAGATGAGGAGGGAGGGAGTGAACAGCATGACGCATAATATCAGTATTACAGTAAAATTGGTTTTAACACTTTAAATCAGTGGAATACAACACCTCACTCATACTTGGGTATGGTGGTGTACACCTGTAATCCTAGCATTCAGGAGGTGGAGGCAGGAGGGTTGCAAGCTTGAGACCAACCTGAACTATATAGTAAGACCCTGTCTCACTAAACCAAAGCAAAAATAATAAGCAAACAAATAAGGCTGAGGGTATAGAGCAGTGGTAGAGTACTTCCCTATCATATGCAAGTTCCTGGGGGAGCACAAACAAATACATATATGTGTAAATGAAACAAAAGCACCACTGATTTTCTGTCTCAGTTTATCCTTATATCAGCTCTGCAAAGAAGATATTTTTCTCTTTCACATTTTCACAAATATGAAAATGGAAACACATGAACCTTGAGAAGTCCATATCCATCCCATACTTGAGGCCACCCTCTTGCAAAGGATCTCTGATAGTTTGCTGACATAAAACAACATTTAGAATTTAGAATTTCTCCAAAGAGCTCAAATTATTGTTTTCCTTACAAGTATTTGTTTTGGTTGGAAAGCACATCCAAAACAAAGATTGAATATAAAGATTGAAACAGAGCAACCATTTGCTTTGAAGTTTTCTTCATGAAAAGTGTGTAGGGGTTATGGATGTAGCTGCATGGTAGAGCACTTGCTAGCACATGCAAGGCCTTGGGTTCAATCCCAGGTGTTGCTGAAATAATGGTGACAATAAGAATATTACATAAAATAATCCCAGCACTCAGGAGGCAGAGGCAGGCCAGTCTGGTCTCCATAGCAAGTTCCAGGCCAGCCAGGGCTACAGGGAGACCCTGCCTCAAAAGGACCAATCAATAAAAAAGAAAGAAAGAAAGAAAGAAAGAAAGAAAGAAAGAAAGAAAGAAAGAAAGAAAGAAAGAAAGAAACATTAAAATACAAAGCATAGGAAATGTAAGGGTAGAAATCAAGTACATATAAAAAGAAAATTCTGAATGAACTGAGTGACAGGAACTGCTTAAAATTATACCCAAATTTGTATTCTGTTGTTCAGACCAAGAGATCTGGACATTAACCGGTTGTCCAGAGGTAGAGAGTTAAGGGAGTAGGAGTGCTGTCAGGATCACTTCATACAAACAACTGCATGTAATGACTGGATTGAGAAAATACATGATTTAAAAGAGAGAATGGATTTTAATAGGATTTTCTACGTGTTTCCTTTAGGTGAGCGTTCCCATAATGTATATTAAACAGGATTCCACTTGTAGAAATTCAATTTCAATTTGACCTCTCAAGAAAGCTTCTAACTTTAATAAAACAAGGTAGAAAATGAATTCAATTTAGACTAAATTATAATTGGTTCTCTGAAGAGATAGTAAAGCCCTAAGCACAAAAGTAAAATTACAGTCTATTAGTGGAGATAAAACTAACACATTATAAGTATGCAAACATCTAGAAACAGACATAAAACATATATTGAATACTAACCAAGCTTGCTATGATTTGGGTATGGTTTGAGTGTGTACCCATGGTTCTTGAATTAAAAGCTTGACCCTTACAGGTAGAGCTCTAAAGAAGATCATGAGAGGCAAAGACAGGCACATCCCAAGCTCAAGTTCAGCCTTAATTTATCTACCTCAAATGAAGACTACGTATTTTTTAAGATTCATTTATTGTTACTTTATGTGTATATGTGAGTCACCGCATATGTGTATGTGTTCCCTGTGCATGCCTGGTGCCCACAGAGGTCAGAAAAAGGCATTGGATCCCTTGGAACTTGAGTTACAGGCCATTGAAAGCTGCCATGCGGGTGCTGGGAATCAAACCAAGGTCCTTTGCAACAGCAGTTAGTGGCTCTTAACTACTGAGCCATCTCTCCAACCCTAGACTATGTATTTTTTTGTGTGTATGAATACTACATTGTTAGGTTCTTTGCAGGGAATCATAGTAAGAGGCACATGATATTGGTTCCTCCCATACCTTATGATGTTATTCTCAATCATTTGGTTATGACTGAATTTCTATATCATAAATATTTTTCATTTTGTAATTAAATGTATAATGTGGGGAGTGGGTTATTATGAGGTTTTGTATGTTCCTTACCATAAGTTTACCTTCTAGTTTTAGCAACTTTTTGTGGTTCTTGACTGAATCAATTGTTTTGTTAGACAATTTACATAGGAGCTGGAGAGATGGCTCAGTGGTTAAGAGCAGGAGTTTGGTTCCCAGCACCCATACTGGGCAGCTCATATCTGTCCCTAACTGCAGCCTCCAGGAGATCTGACACCCTCTTCTGGCATCTGCAGGTACACACACACACACACACACACACACACAAATCTTTAAAGTACACATTTCAGTGTTTTTAAAATATTCACTAGTGTGTGCACCCACATCTAATACCATTTTAAAATTACATTTGTTTGTGTCTCACAGTCGTGCCATGAAACATGCATGTGGAAGTCAGAGGACAGCTTGCAGAAATCAGTTCTCTCCTTTTTTCGTGTGAGTCCTGGGGATCAAACTCAGGTAGTCAGGTTTGGTGGCGGGCACCTTTATCGGCTGAGCTATGTCGACGGCCCCTTAACTCATTTTTTTCATCACCCACAAAAAGAAACGATGCGCTGTGATTGCTCTTCCACACTTCCCTCGCTCCCTGCTTCCAGCAACCACTAATCTACTCCGTCTCTGTAAATTTGCCTATTTCAGACATTCCGTATAAAAGCAGTCATACAGTAAGTCGTCCTTTGTGTTTTTATTTCTCTATATTCTCAGGGTTCATCAATTACACTGCAGTGTTTGAAGAGTAGTAATTTATTCCTTTTTATTTTCTTAAATGTACTATGATTCTTAGGAAATATTGATCTAAGTACAAATTTCCATGTGTACTTATTAAGGCGATATGATTTTTATCATCCTTTGTCAAAACGCTTTTAAAGAAACCTGCACCAGGATAATTTGTTTTAATAAAACTGCCTTCCGATAGTTAAGGGCCTACGACGACCGCCTTTCTTGGGGTGCACGAAATCTTCGCTCATTTCCACTCCTACAGGGTGGTTTCCAACCCGCCACGACTGCCTTTCCGGCGTTTTCGGCATCGCGGATCACACACAAGCCCCGCCTTCTCCTGCTGCTGCCCCCGCCCCGCAGAGGCAGGAGGAAGTGACGCACCGGAAGTGTCCCTGTTCCCCTCACAGTGGAGGAAGGACTCAAACTCCCAAGATGGCGGCGGCGTCGGAGGAGCGGATGGCCGAAGAGGGAGGCGGCGGCCACGGCGACGGCGGTTCGTGCTCGGCCGCGGGCTCCGCTCAGCGACAGCCCCCGCCGCCCCCGTCCCAGGCCCCGCAGCCGGGGTCACAGGTGTCCGCGGCGCCCGCGCTGGCTCCGGACCAACTGCCTCCAAACAACACACTGGTGGCGCTGCCCATCGTAGCCATCGAGAACATCCTCAGCTTTATGTCCTACGACGAAATTAGCCAGCTCCGCCTGGTGAGGCCCCCGCGGGACCCCGCCGCCCTGTCCTCGGGGCCGAGGTCTGGGGAGGGGCGCGCATTCCGGGGGGAGGGAACCCCCGCGAGCCCGGAGCGCGCCCCTGCACTGCCCCCGGCCGGGCCCGACAGGGGTTGCTCCCCAGGGCGCCCTCCTCCGGGCGGCGGGCGATACCTGCACCCCCAAGGTCTCCGCCCCTCGCCTGGGGACGTGTCGGTCAGCCGGGACCCCTGAGGGGGATAGGGCGCTGGCGACCTGCCTCAACTTACCGCCCTCCAGCCTCTGGCCAGGCTTGGAAAACTCCCCGGTGGGCAGGTGATCCCTGCTCTGCTAGGGTTGTGTTGCAAGAATAGCGTATTGTTCCTCCAGCCACCCAGGCTTCCTGGTTGGAAAAGATGATGTAGGGCTGGTGTATTCCCCACCCGGTACCCCGGTAGAGATAACGTGGAATTGCAACGAGTTTGCGTGGCTTTAACCCCAGTGTCTTAGTTGACCACTAAAGTTAGAGCCCTCGGAAATAACCAGTCCGGCTTTGCCTCATCCCGACACTTCCTATCCGAAGTGGAGTAACTTGCCCCTTGACAAGATGTTTTTTTACCCCTGTCTTGCGGGAATTTTTAAACGAGTGCTTCAAGCCCACCCGCTCACAGTAGGAGCTGTTTATTTATACCCTAAAAAAATCACCGTTGTTCCAGCCAAGATGTTAAAAGAAAAAAAAAAATGTCTTTGGAATGTTTTTACATCCCAGAGGTTTGGCTAGAGATTAGATGAATGCCTTGGTTCAGGCAGATGTCTTGTTTCCTTTCAGTGAATTTATCTGTAAGTGGTCAGAAAATTGAAAGAGGTGGACATTTTGAAGTGATTGCAAGCCCATTCTGTGTAGAAGCTAAATCTGCACGGGATTGTTTTAAGAGGACAAAGACATATTTGTGAAAGTGCTGTGGGTGGCATTTTCTTACTAATCAATGTGCCATATTTTTGACTTAACAATTCCAGTTCAAAATTGGTCATAATTGCTTTTTAAAGGAAATAATATTGTTAGAACAGTTTATCATTCATTCAGATGATGGGCAGGTTTTGTTTTTACTCCTAGGCAACACAGCAGTTCAACCATGCCAGTCTGCAGAATGGAAAATGTCTTAAGTTGCAAGTAGATATTTCAAAATACAGTGTCCCCCATTTTTGAAACATCATCCTAGAATTTCATGTAGAATCTTAAACATTTCTTCATATATTTACAAAGAGTGTTGTTGTACCAAAATTTATGTTGTACATACATGGTGTTTGGGAATTGGGCATAAAATTTTATTGAATTGAGTCAGTCAGCCAGACAATAGCTTTAGAAAGCTTGAAATGTTCAGAGTTGTATTTTGTAAGTGTTGAGAAAAACTGTGGTTTTTGTTTGCTTGTGACTCATTTTCTTCTTTGTATTCTTTCTTTCATCCATTTTTTTTCTTTTGTTTTTTCACTACACTGGTGTTAAAACCCAGAACCTGTATCTACTAGGCAGGGGCTCTACCTATACCCCTAGTGCCCCCTTTTATTTCCTTTTTCCTTTTTCTTTAAGTTAAAAAACATGTTTAAAGGGAAGAAAATAGATTGCTAGGAGACCTGAGGTGTAAAATACATCCCATAATTTACTAATAAATGGCATTTCTTTCACGTGAAACGTATAGCTTCATACTGTATGTCTTCAGCTTTTGTTTTCCTGGCCTTTTCAAACAGATTTTTCTTAAGGAGTCCCTTTAGTATTCTTCCTCCACTCCCAGGAAGATTTTTTTCAGCCAATTTTATACCTGCAAATATAGTTCTTTAGAAATCAGGAGCTCTTTTTCCTCTTTACCCGATGTTACTGGATCTTTTGTGGAAATTTAAGAAGGGTTTTTGGTTTTAGAGTCATTGGTTTCTGAAAATGCTATTCAGAAAACACAAAAACACAGATGATTTTTCTTGTCACTAGGTGTCAGCATTAATTTAATTATGATTTTTGTGAAATTGATAGGAAAGAGACATTGCCTGTTTAGGGTCTTTGTACATATCTTTTCAATTTAAGTAGCTATTTAAATAATTGTTTCTCAAAAAATCAAGTGATTTAAGTGTATGCTATTATCTGGCATACATACATAAGTTCCTTTCACTGTGTTTTCTTGACTAGAAATAAGGCTGAATTAGCTTGGGGGTGAATATTAAGAACAGAATTTGTTTCCATAAAGCAAAATGTCAGTTAATTGTGATCCATGAGCTGGTTTATGCATTGTTGAGGTATTTGGGGGTTTTCTTCCTCTTCCCAGTTTCATTTCTTGCCACAGCCTATAAAATCTCAGTCATAACTATTCTTAATGCCTAACTTAGAGGATAGGTGCTCAATCTGAGTCCATAATATTCTGTATTTTCTACAGAAAAAAAAATGTCCTCTAAGTTGAAGTTGCTACAATAATGTATTTCAATTATTTGTGCAGGTTAGTTGGTAATAGTCTTTGCCTCCTGCAACCATAAATAATTGAAATTTGATTTTCCAGTCTACTGATTTCTAAGGGACTATCTGAATGCCTTATTAAATTGGATCTTTTCTGCCATTAAATTTTGCTCCCAAAATATAACCAGCCTTGAAATTGTAGTTATACAGAAATAGCCTTAAATATTTAATTCTCTCAATGTATTAAAATTTATTTGGCCAAGCACAGCTTTTCAAACGGCAGGACATACAGTTTGAGTTGCTCCCCCAGTAAGACAGATCAGTGCTGGTGTAGCTTGGTTTGTCACCCAGACCCATTAATAAGTACCTGAAAGGCTTGGAAACAAGTAGCAAAGGGTAAGAATTGAAAGCCTATCCTTAGGGAGCAGATCAGAGTTAACTTTGAACCTGTAGAGGCCAGTGTTCTGCATAGGAGGGTTTTAAAGATGTTAGAGACACTAAGTTTTTCCCTGTCATTCAAGTGGAGCTCATGCAATATTAATGGAACTGTTAGTATCTCAAAACATAAATATGACTGCAGGTTAAATTGAGATTTCTAATTATCTGGACTGGAAATTTCCAGTCAAAAATAAAATATATAAAGCCATGCTTTATCCCAAGGTATTTCTAGAACACTCTAGAGAGATAAGTTTTCTGTTTCTAGTTCCTTTCACATCTTTTCTTCAAATGTGTTAGAAAGTTTAGCTGTGGAATGGGTTAGCACACACTATGAAGGAAAATGAAGAAGCCTTTTTGTTTTGACGTCAACGTGTTCTCTGCCTTGTATCTCCTGCATGCCTGAAGTTCTCAAATTTTTTGTCCCAGTACACCTTTAAACTCTTCTTAAAAGTTAGTGAAGAACAAAGAGCTTACTTTAGAAAATAATATAAAACACAAGATCTTATTCAAAGCACATACCCCATTAGCTGTTAGCACAGTAACACCATCACATCTCTGCTGCATCGCTCCAGAAAACTCGACTGGATACCTGTGAAAAAGAGTGGAAGAGTCGGCTCCTTAGCACTGTAAGGAAGCATTCACCATGTGACTCCTCCGGAAAGGGTTGTGGTAACTCTAGAGCCTGTATGTTGCAGACTACCACTGTTTACAGAACATGTACTGTACTGTGAACTTTTCTTCTCACACTCTCTTCAGAGTTGTTTCTTACTAATAGGTACTTAAGTAGAGGTAAGAAATTACAATCTTGTGGGGACAATTCCTTCTACCTGCAAACTCTCAGAGTAAAGGAGTTCAAACCTTATCCGCAGTGTCATCATGGAGACATAATGTACATGCCTTCCCTGAGCACATTTATGAAGCACCAGAATAATACAGGCAAAAAGCATAAATAAGAGGCTGCTGAGCTAACCAGGAGAGACCTTGGGACCGTGAGCTGCAACAGGTTGTAAAAGTGGAAGAGTGTTCCAGCAGAATAAAAAGTGACATCAAGCATCAAAGAAATCAGAGCAGCGTGACTTAGAGGGCTTAAAAAGTGCATATTATTGAGTATGGATTATTGAATATTGCTCCTGTACCTCAGCTTTCTTTATTTCACAGAACAGTGAAGTGTAAGAAGCTGTTTTTGAGAATCTCCAGGATTGACAGCTTTGATGAGGAAAAACAGATAAGAGCTTAAAAATACAGGCTAGGGAGGTAGCTCAGCCCGTAAAGCTTTTGCTGTGCAAGCAAAAGGATGGGAATTCGGATCCCCAAAACCCACATAAAAGCCAGGTGGGTGTGGCAGCTGACTAGTGAGCCTCTAGTGCTGGGTGTGAGGTCCCCTTGGAGCAAGCTGGCAAGCTCTGGGTTTGAGACCCAGCCTTAAAACAATAAGATGGAAGAGAGGGGATTACCGACATTGCTCTTATTTTTTTGCATGTGTGTGTGCCCACACATGTGAACATACATCCATATGTGCCCCCACACACACACAAAAGAAGAAAAAAGGAATATTAACAAAACAACTCTCACCATTTCATAGAAGAGACCATATGTATTTGCATACCCTGTGCTGTCCTGGCTATTGGTATGTTGAAGACTTGGTTACAACTTGGTGCTGTTAGAAGGGGCCCAAGCTTGAAGATGTAGTACCTACCAGTATTAGATCTTTGGAGCTGGGTCTCATAATGGGGTTATGGAAACACAGTCTTTCTCTTTCCCCACTACAGAGTGAACACTTGCTGCTCCAGCACCAGTGGCCTAAAAGAGTAGGTTTGTCCACTGATGGACTAGAACCTCCAAGACTGCCAAAGCAAAGCATTACCTTCATCAGCTGATTTTTCTCAGTACTTTCTTCTGTTGATAGACATCAACTTTCTGTCTGTTGAATAGCACCTAGATAAACTGAACGATACCGATTCTTACAGAATTGAAGACAGCACTATATTAAGATTATGGCCTGTGCATGTAAATCCAGTTTCATGATTTTTGAGACTAGAACCAGAAGATAACATTTGATAGAGGTTTCTCTAAGCGCCGGCTTCTAGCATCTTGCACTTAAGATTGAGTAAAGCAGTGTCTTAAGCCTAACCCAGCAATTTGCTCC